TGTCTATGACTTGACAGTAGTCAGTCCAGGTAAATGAAAGTGTGTTTCAGGGACTCACCTGAGGAAACCCATGCAGTCAGAAATTCGGAACAATAACTCCTCTCTCTGGGTCCTATCTTCCCACCCCAATAGCCCAAGAGATATGTTCTGCAATGGATGTGAATGGTTTTCCTGGGAGTGAAGGGCTCTTGGCTCCTCAGTGACTGTGCTGGTTACTTTTACTATCACTGTGATTAAAAAAAAAATATTCCTGACAAGCCAGGTGGTGGTGGCGCACACCTTTAATCCCAGCACTTTGGAGGCAGAGGCAGGCAGATCTCTTTGAGTTAGAGGCCAGCCTGGTCTACAAGAACTAGTTCCAGGACAGCTAGGACTGTTACACAGAGGAAACGCTGTCTCAAAAGAAAAAAAAATCCTGACCAAAGCAACTTCAGGAACAAAGGGTCTGTTGTGGCTCACAGTTCAAGAGTACAGCTCATGGCGGCAGGGAAGTCAAGGAGGCAGGAACTCAAAGCATCTGTTCAGGCCATATTCCCAGTCTGATAGAGAATGATGAAAACATGTTAGTCCTCATGATAGCTTACTTTCTCCATTTTCAACACTGAAGGATCCCAACTGGGAGACCGTACAGCCCCACGAATCAGATAGATCTCCCCACAGCAGTTAACTGATAGAGACAATCCCGTACAGGCACATGCAACCTTAGCACTATTCCTGCGACCACTAATCACCAACATTTACGTCAGCAGAAACTGCTGCTTCACTACTAGAGTGTGTAGCAGGAAGCACTAATTAGAAAATGTCGGGATAGTGATGTGTAGATAGTTATTTAGCAGTGAGCTGGGGGGTGAGCCTTGATGGGTGGCATTCATTCATTTCTGCCATATAAATATTCCCAGTGCTGTTGATTTTTAAATTGCTAGCAATGTTAATGGGCCTGTAAAATTCCTAAAAATTTAACAATAAAAAGCTACTACCCCAGGGATATTAGGAGCCCCCTGGGAAATACAGACTTTATTTTGCTGTATTCTGGTCTCTAGGAAATGGGAGGATTACCCAAATTTTCTCTCAGAGTGCACATAGGGTAACAAAAATCTGGAATAGCTAAGACTTCCTATGAGTTGAACTTCATGACCCTGACGCAGGCACTGGCTTATTTACCGGATACAGGACACAGCTAGTTTGACAGAAGGTAGATTCTTGCATTTCACTTTTTAAAAAAATATTTTGATGTTTTGAGATAACACTCTCACTATGCAAAGTAGGCTGGCCTCAAACGTTTGGTAATCCTCCAACCTAAGCATCTTGTGTGCTGGGATTACAGGCTTGCAATATGACACCTGGCCTTCAGTCTGTTCTCACTTATCAAGAGGAGACAATTTTAGTCTTATTTTCCAAAAAGATATTAGTCCACAGAAGTTTGGGGCGATGGACATATCAAGGCAAGGCTCCCAGTAGCAATGTTCTGGACCATCAGAAAATCTACATGCCACCAGTACTGACTGGCAGATTCTAGACTAGATATCCCATAGCAGGGTCTGCCTCACAGTAGCCTCTGCCAGCAGTCTGACTACTTCTTCAGACACTGAAACCAAGATGAAAGATTCACAGGTAAGTCAAAGTATGGTGCAGGCTTTTGATCCCAACACAAAGACAGCTGTATAAAGCAAGTTCTAGGCCAGCCTAGGCTACATAGTAAGACCTGCCTCATAAAAAAAAAAAAAAAAAAAAAAAAAAAAAAAAAAAAAAAAAAAAAAAAAACATTTGGAGCACATTTTCTCATCAGATGAACATCAAAAAAACAGAAGGAAGAGGGGAAAGAAAGAAGGGACAGAAAGAATAAATTCTATACAAAATGCATTTGCCCTGGGCTCTCTTGTGAACTTATGACTGGGCTCTCAGAAAATGTGCGATTACCAGGGATATGGGTGGGTCCTGTACCCACCTCCTACCCCTAAAGAAAAGTTTGGGTTTGAGCTCTGTACTAGGGTGAGGAGATTCTTAACACAGACATTTTCCAAATGAAGAAGTTAGGAGCGAGCCTTGTTCATGAAATGTGGTGTGGATTAGCTCCGGCCCTCCCCTGTCTTCACAGAGAAGTTGGCCCTGGAATCTGACTCGCTGTTTCTGCAAAGAAAGCGCCATCTTGCAGGGGAGGACTGTGCTGCCCCTTCTGCCCTTTGCTTCCCTGCTTACATCACTGCCGCCAGCTCCAGCCGTGGGTCGTGAACACAGCCCATGCCTTCCAGGCAGGCAGGCCCTACTGGCCTAGCCTCTCTGTGCCTCTGTTTAGGCATCTATAAAATAGGACAACACTCTTACCACCCTGCCTCATTTGGTTGTGATGGGGAGTCAATAAAATCTAGGTAAGGAAACTTGTATCCCATGGGAATGAAAAACTTGCGAAAACTTTTTATGAAGGGGCTGTGAGACAGTGGAAGAAAGTGAATTCTAGAGTCACAGGTCTTTCTCTTGGCTAAAGATCACGGGCTAGTGATATGGCAGAGCAGACAAAGGTATTTGCCACGAAGCCTCAAAACCTGAGTTCTATCCCAGGAACCCACGTACTGAAAGGAAAGAACTGACCACACAGACTCACAAACTATTCTTTGATTTGTGCATGGGTGCTATGCAATGCATTGCCCTCACCCCAACACACACCCACAAATAAATAGATAACAAGAGTCGTGGAATGGCGGTGGTGATGGTGGTGATGGAGGTGGTGGTGGTGGTGGTAGTACTGATGGTGGTGGTGATGGCAGTAGTGATGGTGATGGTGGTGGTGGTGGTGATGGAGGTGGCGATGGTGATGGTGACGGTGGTAATGGTGGTAACGGTGGAATAGGAATGGTGAGGGTGATTCCTGTTAGCGTGGTTGCTGTTACAATTTAATACATTGTGACGGGCTGGGCATACAGCTAAGTGGTAATATATGAGCAGTGAATGCTCTGATTTCAATTCACAGCACTACAAGAAAAGTAATAAAGCTGATAATAGTGTAACCTGGATGCAGACCAGCTGACTAATAATAATTGCTCAGTAAATGATAGAATGGTTTATGTCAGCACCCAGCATAGCTTAAGTAAGAATGTAGTCGGGCTCCTTATTACTTCCAGTCTGGTTGCTTTCTCAGAAACTGCTGAGTACCCTGGCTAAGATTTTAAAGAAGCACAGTTTTCTATCTCAAACATTTGTATCATATAAAGTATATCATTTTCCACACATAAAACACCTCTTTGTCTCATGTGCTCCACACGCCAGCCTTTCGAAGCAATCAGAATACCCCATGAGGGAAGTCTACCACACAGTCTGCCTGACAAGATCTTCCTTCAACAGATAAGTGATTGTTCAGGTCACATAGCAAATCAGTGACAGGGCTGAGGTCAAAGCAGGGGACTTCCGGCTTTGCGTAGTGAGCCCCTCCCAGCACTTCCTCTGCGCTTCACGGCTGTGTCTCTGTTTTCAGTCAAGAGGTGGTCACTCACCCCGTTCTCCCAGTCAGCCACCACGCTAAGTCAGTCCTGCTGATGCGAGGATGAACTAAATAGGTGCTTGCCCTCTGACCAAGATAATTCAGGAAAACATTCCACCCCATCCCCAGGGGCGTCACCAGAAAATGTTTCTACCCCTTGTATAACCCTCAGTATTTCAAAAACTGCACTTGCAAGCAGAATAACCAAATTTCAGAAGAGACAATGATTCTCACTGTAGACATACCTTGTAAAATTAAAAATAATAACAAAATATTAAAATCATTGAAGTGAAATTTCAAAAGCTTAGCTTTCTTAACTTGCTGAATTTTTCCCTTTTTTTTCAAATTAACTATATTGCTAGCAAGGTTGGTTAGTTTGCCAAAAGAATTTGATGCCAACGTGTATTATTTTCAACACACAAAACTTTTAAAAGCTCTTAAATGTCTTTGAGTTGAGGTATCCTTAGATAACTCACCCTCCGGCTTTGCTTTGACCCCAGCCTCTATGAGAAGAAGATATAAAACACTGTGGGCTCCAGAATGTTCTGTCCTTGGAAGATCTCCATTTGATGTTTTTGGCCAAAAGTCCCATTAATTCCCCCATGACTAAGGCACTTTGGGGTCAGCAGAACTTGGGGTCTATAGGGATTTCAGAAGAAGGACAAGCTCAGGCTGCATGGTCCAGAAACTTGGGGTAAAGCCAGACCCTGCTACAAGGATTTAAAAGGGAGTTCACTCAGGGCAGCCGTTTCCTAATAATTGTCCTGAAATTAACACCGTCCTTCTGCTATGCCCAATAATGACAGAGGCTCTCACTTCATAAGAGGTCAGTAAGGTTTGTAAACCGACCACTTTACAAACGGTTTTTATAAATCCTATGAACAATAAAGGAGTCATAATTCCTCCTTCACAGTGAGATGCTAGCTAGACACAAGGGTTAAGAATGTCTACTAAGGTCACAAGGAGAGCAAAGGTAGGACTTGCAGAGCACTCTGCTCTCCCGACCTCTCTCGTCTGCTGCCTCACACTCTTCCCCTCAGGGTGGTGAGAGGAGAGATAAAGACTCTGATAACAGGAATCTTCCATTCCTGTTCTAAACATATTTTCTAATTACCACCTACATACCCAGCGCTATATTAGGCACTGAGGAATGTTAACGAAGAATTCTGGGTTTGGCTTTGGCTTTGACTTGGGGGGAAAATTGCCTCTTTTTCCAATGATCTTTTTCTTGAGCCACTAAAACCCAGCCGTTCCTTTCTGGGGCTATCAGATGGAAAGAGAAATACTTTTTTAAAATATGCAACTCTATTCACAGTAGTTTTGATTCTCCTAGACCCCATTTAAGATCATTCCTGTCAAAGTGATAATTCAAAATGTCTGTTCAAGAAATTTGAGTCCCTTCGTGTACACTGTATTTTTGTTTTGTTTTTGGAGCACAACGGATTGCCTTTATTTCCACACGCATGCCCATTTCAGCATTAAGGGGTCCGGAGCAGAGTGGGGAGGGCGGCAACAAGACTAGACCCACCGATCTGAAGTTGCTGTGACACAGGGCTCCTCCAGGTCCCTACGCAGGTTTGAGGAACAGCAACACTGAAACCTGAGTCCGTAGAGTCAGGGCACCGTGTCCTAGCTGTCTGTCAGGCTCCACATCAGACCCAATGGGTGAGAAGATGCCGCTGGTGTCATGGTGACACTGAAGAGGCTCCATGTGTAAGAGTAATTATAAGGAAAGAAATCAACTCAGAACCTCGCTCTCTGTGTGGCCTTTCTCCCGGCGTAATCAGCAAGGATCCTGAGAGCTGGCAGGTCTGAGCCACCCTGAAAGCTGTATTTTTTTAAAGAAATACCAAGCCGTTCTTAAAACCACAAAGACTAGCACTGGCCTTTTCGTTCAAATGTCCTGTGAGTCTGGGTTATAATTAGCTGTGAATTCGCTGTCCTGGGCAGGGCAATCAGAACTGCATTGTCCCGGGATTTCAAACTCGGAATAGGGTGGAGGAATAGACAAAATGAAGAACAACTTTCTAACAAAACATCTCCCATGCTATGTGTTGCTTTAAAGGTGAAATCCTTTCCCAATATAGACTTTGGGAGGAAAGCTTGACATAATGGGACAGTCATACTAAAAGGTTTACTGTGAGACACGCAGCTTGATATGAGTCCAGGGGGCCCACACTGGTACCGCTCAGCCTCAAGTCCAGTTCTCAGATCCATGCAGATTTGTCCTCTTCAAACTCTACGCATCGTTTTAGAGACTGGATTTCATCTGAGCATTTGATTAAGTTTTCGTCTTCTTTTACTTAGAGAATCAGACCAATGTCTTCTCCCTAAATGACCTGGAAAGGGAAGGGAAACTGGAATAAATTACATCCTAATGAGTTCTCAGAGATTGCTACACGTCCACCTGGATTCCACTCAATTTGGGAGGCTGAGTGCTCGACACACCCACTCCATGAAGCAAGAGCGGCTGGTAATTCCATCTCGGATTTCACAGTCGGAAGCTGGACCAGTCCATTAGCTCTACTGAGTCACAGTGCGTGTTTGGACTTGTCTCTCTACCCACCCTTGTGACCAAAGAAAGAGTTTCAATTGGCTCATCACCTTTTTAAAAAATCTTCATCAATTATTTGATACAGAGTCTCAGAGGATCACAGATGCATCAGCAGTTCTCCAAGGAGCTTGTGAAACTAATGGCAAAAGTCAATATGGTGGTGGCAAAAGGATGGGGAAGAATAAATACAGGGCCAGCAAAAAGATTATTACTGTAAGTAAACCAAAGTTCAAATAGGATCCATCGAGGTAAATTACTAACAGCCCCAAGAATTTAGTCTTACAAGAAAACCAAAAGGTGAACAAATATTTAATTTGTTAAATAATTTAAATAAGCCACAATAGTTAGTATTCTGCTTATCTCCCACCGCCACCAGCAAGGCCACGGGACTCCTGTTCTTTACTTCCTGCCCTTCTTCCTCCTTCCACCCTTCTCTTTTTCCCTTTATCTCCTCCTTATTGACTTTTGCCCCCCGCCAAAAAATTTCACCCCAATGATGCTGGTCTCTTGTTTAAACACAGCTGATTTCTCAGTCCCAATAAAGCAAAGGTATCATTTCTATGATGTCTTAATCAAAATGTATCACAGGAACAGCCCCAACAGAGACGTCAGGGAGTCCCAAACTTCCTCCTTAAATGTCCGAAGGCATCCCTTTACCTTGTTCCCAGCATTGCCATCCAAGTTCCCATGGCAGTTCTTTCTTCTCTGAGCACTTCCAGCCTGTTCAGCTGTCTCCCCAGTCCTCCCCACAAAGCAGCATGGTCAAACGCACCACAGTAATATCACCTGTTCCGGATTCCAATTCCTGTCCTGTTCCTGAGCTAGGACACTAACCAAAACCAATGTGGGGAGCTTTATCTTGTCATACACTTTACCATACGCCATCGAGAGAAGCCAGGGTCGGAGCTCAAGGTGGCAGAGACCTAGAGGCAGGATTGAACTAAAGCAGAGACCATGGGGAAATTCTTCTTAGTGGCTTGCTTTCCGCTGCCTTCCTTCTACAGCCCAGGACCACTAGGCCAGCAGTAGCATTGCTCATGATAGGTGAAGCCCTGCTCTATCAATTATCAGTAAAGAACATACCGTACAGATATGCCCAGAGACCAATCTCGTGTTGGAAGTTTCTCAGTTGAGGTTTTCTATTCCCATGCGTCTCTAGTTTCTTTCAACTTGGCAAAAAACTAAACATCTCAGGACCTCAAGTACACATGATCAAACACAAACCTCTCCAAATATATACTCCAAATACCAAAAACACAAACTAAAGAAACAATATAAAGCTGTCAGAGAAAGGCAGCAACTCACAAAGGCAAACACATCAGAATAACACCAGATAGCTCATCCACAACTCTTAAAGCTAGGTAAGCCTGAAGGGAAGAAGGGAGTAACTGCCAACCAAGACTGTGATATGCCCAGCAAAGTTATCTTTTAAAACTGACAGAGACATGAGGACATTTTCAAGGAAAGTTAAGGCAGTTTACGACCAGCAAGCCGGTGTTGTAGAAGATGCCTAAATGCATATTGTATACAGAGGAGGAAGAAGGTAGCCTCAGACCTCAGAGGAACAGGTGAACACAGGAGAGTTAAGAAAAAAAAAAAAAAACACAGTATATCAACAAACACATAGAAAGGAAAGTATATAAAATAAAGTTGGCTTTATTCTAAGAATTCAACCTTTGCTTTAATCCACCTCTCAGCGCCAGCTGAATGTCCTTTTGGGACATTTAAAAAGAGAAGCATCTTGTCAGCACAAACTCTCCTACTAAAGCTCTACAGGGAGTGATAGTAATAGGTGGTCAAAACAGGAGGTCAATCCAGCTCCTGTTGGGGCAAGGAGATGGTCTGTCCTTCACAGGACGTTAGTTCATCACAATGCAGATTGGGTGTAGGCCAGCTGCTTAGGTTCTCACCACAAGCCCTCAAGGAGTGGAAAGAGAGTTGGGGATGTGGCTCAGTTGCAAGAATGCTTGTCTAGCACATACAAGGTCCTGAGTTCGGTCCCCAACACTGCCCAAACCATGTGTGGTTGCATGGGCCTGTGATCTCAGCACTTGGAAGGTCAGAACTTCAAGGTCATCTTTGGATATGCAGGGAGTTGAAGGCTAGGAATCATCAGACCTTGTTTCTAAGTGAATGGATGAGCATAGAGTACTGTAAACTAATCAATTTCATCAACAATCACTCTGCAAATGATGTTTGTTGGGTACCTTTCCTCGCAATTAGAGTAACAACATTGAAAGGCAACATCCTAACTTGAAAGATCCTTAAGAGTCGTCATGGAAACAGAGCCATCCACATACAACAAAAATAATCATTTCGCAGACTTTTAAGTGAAGGCAAAGCCCTTGAGAAATAATTGAGACAAAGAAATTATCATCAAAGAAGCAGCATATGTTTGATGAGCCACGATGTTTGAGTATGGCCAGTTAATTGGATGGAAAGTTATAAATTTTTTAAACTCAGAAAACAATGCCTTTGAAATCTCTGACAGATGTTGTCAAGATTCCTATGAACAGATGTCTATAAAACACCAGAAATGACCTATTGAATAGTTCTCAATGGTACTGCTTGCTTCTTTCATCAACTTTATGTGAGCTAGAGTTGTCTGGAAACAGGGACCTCATTTGAAAAATGCCTCCATGCAGGTTGCCTATAGGCAAACATGTAGGGCATTCTCTTGATTAAAGACTGATGCGGGAGGATACCGTGTATTGCGGATTGTGCCGCCCCTAAGCAGATGGTCCTGGGGTGTATAGGAAAGCAAACTGAGTAAGCCAGGGTACAAGACACTAAGCAGTCACCTTCGTGGCCTCCGTTTCAGTTTCTGCCTCCGTTTCCTGACTTTCTGCATCATAAACGATTGTCTGGAAGTCTGAGATGAAATAAACCCTTCCATCCCCAAGTTGCTCTTAGTCATGGTTGCTATCATGAAAGAAGAAACCTAAGATACTTGCCCTTTCCATCGGTTGTTATTTTACTGAATTTGCAGATCAATATGTTGACAGTAGACCTGTGGGCAACATGCATCTTTGCCACCCTTAAAGGGGAAATTTCACATAGGAAAGAATATGCTTCAACAAAATATTACAACTTACATATGTATAATATTATATAGTAACTATTAGGCACAAATTGCAAGGACCATGAAGCTAAACAAGGAAAATTTCATTGAAGATGTCTGGGTCCTCATAGTATTCTGACTATAAAATAATTACAAAATTTCAACAATGAATAGATGATGGTTTGGAGTTCCTTAGTGTTGTGTCTCATCTTTGGTGGATTGCATTCTGCTTTACACTTCCCTTCTCTAACCTTAATTATTTTATGTTGCATGTTAAGTTTATGAGGAGATTGAAGACCAAAACCAGTGAGTATTGGCATAGGGAATCCATGCTGAGACAGCCCCCTTCTGTGCCACTGTAATGCCTATTTTCTTATCACTTCCTTTGGGTGGGAGCATCTAGGTGCTGTTAAAAGTCAGTTTCTAGAAAGACGTGTGTATTCCTTGAAACATAAAGGTTAAATAGATTTAAGATGTCTCCTAAATCTTATGTTTGTTTGTCTCATACAAACAAAGAAGGGCTGCAGAGCTTAGAAATCTCCCCTTTAGGGGCTGGGGAGATGATTTACTTGTACAGTGATTGCTGAGCAGCGTGAGGACTTGAGTTCAGATCCACAATGCAAAGGTAAAAATTCAGATGTGCCAGTCTGCTGCAATCCCAGCACTTTGTTCATTCCTGGCAGGACAACAGGATCCCTGGTGCTTGCTGGCCGGTCAGTCTAGGAAACTGGTGAGCCCAGATTCAGAGAGAAGTCCTATCTGGAAAATCTGATATGGAGAGAGCTTGAGGAAGTCAACATCCTCCAGCCTTTATGTGAATGTCACTCACACATATGAACACACACAAACACACACATGCATGCATGCAATAAATACATATACACATACATTTTTTAAAAAATTAATTACACATTTTAACTCCCATCTAACAAAGACAAGAGACAGGTGCTTCAGTCCCCACTCCACCAGGAGAAAACCACCCTGCCTTCTTGCAATCCTAGGTTAGCTACCTAGCTACTTGTGAACTGAAGTTTGAATGTTTTAAAAAATATAATCCCATGTAGTCTTGGCTTGTGCAACCAAAGCCAAGTCATTCGGTCTTGCCATGATTTGATTGCTTGATTTGTAATAAAGACAACAGCTTCAAACTCAAAGGGTGTTAGAAAATTCAACATTGTAAATTTATCAGATAATTTATTTATCAGATAAATAATTGTATTCATGCATACATACATACTATGAGAGAAAGGTGAATTATGGAAATTATTCTGCCATATTGAATTCACTCCACAATTAGCTTCCATATAAACATATTACCATTTTCATAATTAGGCTGTGATTTTCCCCCTTGTGAGCCGGGAACCAAAGAGTTCAGCCCAAGAGAGGGTATCGGAAGTTACAAAATGGTGAACAGTTCAACGAACATTTTATTAGCTTCTGATGATCATGTATATCTGGGTTAAGACAGATTTTCACCCACCCCCACGCCATACACACCAACACATACAGAGAGAAAAACAGAGACAGAGACACAGAAACAGAGAAAGAGACAGAGAGACAGAGAAATACACCAAACTGTTAGGTATTTACTTTGCCTATAACTGAGCCATTTCAACTATTCCATCTCAAAGACAGATAAGTCAATTAATAGTGATAGTCAATGACTTTTCCATACCTCAGTTTATTTTATTCTAATGTTGATGTGTCAGTCAAGGCTCAGAAGGAACAGAACTGAATATATATTTCAAAGGGTATTTACTAGATTGACTTACACAGTGTGGGCTGAGTCATTCCACTGTGGCTCCCAGCACACTGGAGAGGTTGGATGTCTCGGTGGTCATCATCTGGCACAGAAGGCCTGGAAGCTTCCTGGGGACCTTCACACCACACTAGAAGACTGGAGTCAGCCAACAATGCCAGCATCAGCGACAGCCACAGAGTGGATGCACTTACCAACAAGGAACTAAGGCGGGCTAGCCAAAGTATCTCCCTTTTCCCTCACATCTCTTGATGTGGGCCTCTGCCAGAAAGCTCTTCCCCACTCCCAGACCTACTCAGAGCTACGTCTCTTAGTTGATGGTGGATCCAATCAGACATTGAAGGTGACCCATCACAATTGCAAAGACACTTAGTCAAGAAAGATTTAAATGACTTTCCATCACAGCCTTGTGGGTGTCACTATAATAAATAGAGAGGAGATGGAATCCCACCCTCACCTGCACTCAGGCCTCAAAATAGTCTCAACTGGGAATCATCAGACCAAGTGGTTTCCGCTGTCCTTTCTCACCCAGGAGTTCTATACTAGCACTCCATTGATTCATAATACCTTCAAAAATCTAGGAAGTTCAATAGAAAATAATCAACAGAGGTCTCGTCTGGCATTTGCTCTGGGTTTGGTGTTGAAGGGCAAAGCTAGAACTTTCTGTTTCGTTCCACTTTCTCTAGGGTGGTTCCTTTTTCCACACTGACGTAGACTTGCTTTTCCTGGATTCTTCATTTTCAGCTTGCTCGAATAAATGACTTTCCAAACCACCTTGACCTCCTTCCATAGAAGTTTGGTTTTTCACAATCTGCTGACTTTTGAGATTGCAACTACCAGCTACCCTGTACCTTCTCCATTTTAATTATAGCCTCCATTCAAAACGAGAGGGGGGGAGAGAGAGAGAGAGAGAGAGAGAGAGAGAGAGAGAGAGAGAGAGAGAGAGAGGAGAGAGCTGGGAATGGATGTTAACCCTTAGAAACACATTTCATGAACCATGACTTCACACCTTCGGTCTGTGTGAAGCTGAAGGAGAAATAAAGGGTCACATTACATCACATGGTGGCTCAGAAGAAAGGCTTGGAGCCATGTCATTGGGGACAGTCCTTGCTAAACCAGAATATCTAGTCACTTTGACCTACAGCAAAGAAGTAAGGGGTAACCAGGACTGATGCTCGCTCCTGCAAGCCGCTGAGCCAGCCACGAAAGCAGCACAGCCACTCAGTAAGTTGAACTGCATTCAAGGCTGTGGACTAAAGAGGAATCTGGGAAGAGAGAACCAGGGGAGGGTTTTATTTGTTTCTTTGTTTTTCCTTCTCCTCTTCCGTTTTCCAGAAGGACCTGAGACCTGCTCAGCCAACTGGCAGAGTTCCTTGCAAATTTAGCAGAAACTTTTGTCCGAAGAAAAGGGAAACCACTGACTCTACCTCAGGAGCTGCCACTCGCTGCTGGGAACCAGGCTAGTGGCAGCCTACTGGCTGAGGCCCTGTTTTCCGCCAGCGTGCCTATGGTTTGCATGGAAAAAAATGGTAGCATTCTAGAGGTCAAAAGAAAATCCCTTGTTAGCAACCAGGCCACCTTCCATGAAAGTGCAGGCTCACCAGCTCTTCTAGGTATAGGAGATTATCTAGTGGATCAAGGCAGAGATTAAGAATAAGAGAACAACAAACATTTCTATGGCCTTGGGGTCATAAGCCCATCCCCCATGTTAAGCACTTTATAAATAAATAAGCATTTATAAATATTTAGTAGTTTCAGTAACCTTAGGAATGGCTTCTATGAGAAGTCTAGTTTTTCACATAAAGGAGCAAGAGCATACAAGAGTCAGCAGAAATCATCATTGTTACTTAACAACAGAACCAAATATAGATTTCATTGTGTCAAATGTACTTACTTACTAAGGACTGTTCTGGGATTTGTTCTTCAAATAATATTGTCTCAGTGAGGGTTTCTATCGCTGTGATAAAAGCACCATGACCAAAAGCAACTTGGAGGAGAAAGGGTTTATGTATCAGCCTATGGTTCCACATCTCATCTGTCTATTGCTGTCAAGAGACTGTGACCAAGGCAACTCTAATAAAAGAAAACATTTAACTGGGGCTTGCTTAGAGGTTTAGTCTGTTGTCATCATGGCAGGGAGCATGGGAGTATGCATAACACTGGAACAGTAGCTGAGAGTTACACACTGATCTGCAAGGGGAGCTGGGCCTGGCATGGGCTTATTACACCTTAAAGCCCACCCCCAGTGACACATCTCCTCCAAAAGAGTATGCCTACTCCAACAAGGTCATATCTCCTAATCCTCCTCAAATAAACACTATTCTCTGGTGTCTAAACATTCAAATGTCATGGAGATCTTGCAGCCCTAGGTTTGTAGGACCAACACCACCCTCCACCCTCTCACCCCAACTCTGAGGCCCCTATGTCCCAGGAGATCACTGATGGGGTGGATGTTGGAGAGGGCCAACACATAACCCTGATTATGCCTGGATAGTTGCAGGGTTGGTCAGTAAGGCAGCTATCCCCTGTCTTCACCACCAGGGTAAACTCTCCAGTATTGCCCTGGCTAGCTCACCACTTGAAGCAATAAGCAAGGGGGTGGGGGAGAATGGAGGCCATTCTTATTCAAACCCCCACACCATCCATCAGCAAGAAAGTCAGGGCAATAACTCAAGTTGGGCAGGAATGTGAAGACAGGAACTGATACAGAAGCTACAGACAAGTGCCACTTACCCTTCATAGCTTGCATACCCTCCTTTCTTATATATCCCCAGGGCCATCTACCCAGGGGTGGCACAACCCATACTTCTCTAGGCTCCCACATGCACCACAGACTTGCCCACAGGCCAGTCTCAGTTGAGGTTCCCTCTTCTAAAAGTTAGTGTCAAGCAGATGTAACACTAGCCAGGTCAAATCTTCTTTAGTGTTGTAATAAATAACTTAAGAAACAAATTTTGTAATGTTTGCCAAGAACAGAAAAAGATTCTACACAGTGAAATTCTTAGCAAAATGATAAAGCTGAACATCTGGCCTTGCGTTTAAGACTCATGAGAAACCCAATTGAATGCTTGCTTTCTGAGCTAAGCGGACTTGAGTTGGGATCCTGTCACTAATTAGAGGTAGTAATGGGGCAAATAGTTCTTGCCTCTGTGCCTCTATTTCTTGACTCTTGAGTTGAAAACCCTAAGAGAGACTGCTTTATAGGTTGAAAAGATTACATGATATTAAGTAATATGCCTGTACGTGACAGGTAACAGTGGACAGAGGTGGTAATGACACTGCCAGTAAGGAGGTCACAGTGGCAATGGTGGCGGTGATAATGACAGTGGTGACAGAGATGGAAATGGTGTTCTTCATGGGTACTGATGATTGGAGTGATAGAATGATCATTGCTTTTATTACAATAGAAATGCTCCCTCCCAGACTTAGGTGTTTGGGGCCTTGGTTCCAGCTGATGGAACCATTTGGATGGTTCGGGACACTTTAGTAGATAAGACCTAGTTGGAGGAATTGCTCCCTGGGGTGTGGTTCTCTTTCTCTCATCCCTTTCGTGTCACTGATTCTGTTTCCTGTCCACCATGAGATGTTCCTCTACCCTTCGTTCCTACACTAAAATGTTCGTCTGAAACACATGGAGGTAAGACACCATGACCCAGGCTGAAATAAATCCTTCCCCCCAATGAGCAGTTTTTTATAAGGTACTTTGGCCACAATGATGAAAGGTTAGCAGAATCATAGCAACCGTAGTAAAGGTGATGGTAGTGGTGGTCAAAATAATAGTGCTGGTGACATACTCTCCGCCATGATGTGATACATGCCCGAGTACTCTTGCTACAAAACCCTCTTCTTGACAGAGCCCCACCCACATTTCCACCCAAATCTAAAATCTCTTTTATGAACACTGTTTGGCTTTCTATGCGAAGCTGATGGCTGCAAATCCTGAACCTCTCTGTTTCCTACACAAATACCCAACATGATAGCTGCAATTCTGTCTTGTGCTTCTGTATTTGTGTTTCTAACACTTCTTCTACATTTCCAGCTCCTTGAAAGTAGGAAGCTTGTATCTTATCTTTGCACCTCTGGTACCTAGTGCAACATCAACACAGACACCGAACAAATATTTAGAGACTGTGGTCCAAGGAAGATTGAATAATAAACAGTGCATGATACAACCAGCTTATAAAAATGCAATACACATAAAATCATTGCTTGTGAATTTTAAGAAAAATTTAGAACTATAGAACGCCATGTATATGATAGAACTGTATGGTTTCAACACATTCACAAAATAAAGGGACATTGAGCCTGAGTCCCACAGCCTGCATAAAGAATCTCCAGGACAGTCAGATCAAGGACTGTTTTCCTTGTTAATGAATGTATGAAACCAAGTGCTAATTCAAGTTGAGAACTAGAAATGAGCCTCCAAAACTTGAAAGATATTCTATGGTCATTGACCTAAGTTCTTTCCTTATCTTCATCTACTGCAACAAATGATGGAGGTCATTCACTCATGGGCTACAGACCGAGATATGAGCACACAGGCAAAAACAAAAACAAAAACAAAAGACAGTTTTTACCCTAAGGTAGCTCAGATTCTGGTGGTTGAAGGATAGAGGTCAGCAACGGGTCAGAAAGTGTCGTCAGAATACTTAGGGGTAGAAAGGCATCTCATTGTTTTACTCCCAATGTATCGCAGAGGGACAGTACGTAATAAACTACAGAGAGAACGGAATTGTGAGCTGGGGATGCAGCATAGACACGAAGCACTTTCCTGACATGCTTGGTGGCCCAGGTTCAGTCCTCAGTACGGAAAGAGGGGTGGGGAGTAAAAAAAGAAAAGAAAAGAGCGGGAGAGAACAAAATTATGAAACAATACATAGACCAGGCTCAAATTTGTCATAATTATTAGTTGACGAAAATTGTCAATCTAATCGTTAGTAAACACACTGTCAATTTCGGTACATATGGAATGGCCACTGTGTACAGGCCTGCCATGGTCCACAAGCTATGCCCTGAGACTACTAACACATAATACAAAAAGTTAGCTCTTCTAAGAGAGGTGACAATAGAAACCCAGGACAAGGTGATTGTAAAGAAACAAATTACTTAAGAGCCGAGCCTACTTGGTTGGTATGTTT